TGCCCCCACCAACCCACCCCAACACATACAGCACCCCCCCCCACTCCCCCCCACACACACAGGAAGACAGGCTGGACGTGACCTGCAGTGCCCCAGCAGAGGGCGAGATGTCTGATCTTTGACAGTGTGTCAGCAGGCCCAGATAAACTGTACCATTCCAGCATAGTTCCTGTCCACCTTCCTGCAAACCAGCGAGACATTTTCACATTGCCAACCATGTGACCTTAACTTCCCAGAGTCCTTTACACAGCCTGCTGTACACCACAGTGTTTTATAAATGAGCAGTCACACACACTGTGACTCATTATCTAATCTATACCGAGGTGAGTAACCTGAGATACACGGGTTCAAACAGCACTCATTTATACTCAGCTGAGCGCAGGGTGAACCTAGCAGTTAGTTTTATATACAACAAACACTTAATAAAATAAAAAAGTAATGCGTTGTGTTGCTGTTAACAGCGAGAACAACCTCCGGTCTCTGCAGTTCTCTTCAGTTCTTGGCATCCTTTTAATACTCCCCAGTACGCTGTTGTTTTTTCACTGCCTATATCTATGCTGATGTGATTTGGCTGTTCTGCTCTTAACGGCGTTGTTTCTAGCCGCAGTAAAGTGCTATTTAAATGAATCCCGTGTGCACCAGCCGCCCAGCAGTGATCGGTATGACGCTGCTTATAGAAATGTTTAACAGCTTTTAATAACAAAATGTGACTTGTTAGTGAGGCTGCGGGAGAATAAAATAGTTAAGTTTGGAGTTAAGTCCAAACCACCAAAATGTGGAATGGGTGTAATATGCCTTTTAGTTCTATATGTTTGCTTCTATTGTTAAAAGTGAAATAAAACAGCAGATTCTAGTTATTGTCTTCACTAAATGATCCCTTTGAGACCATAAAGGGATCGTTTTAAACATTTACAAAAAGATATATTGGCTTTCACATTTGTTTATTCCAAATTTAATAGTTATAGTTATAGTTAAGTGATTTTGTAGCATTTTCTCCACACAACATTTCAAGCCATGTTTTTTTTCTCATGTTTTTTTTTTTTTAAAAGAATATCGAACCTTTTGATCGTTTCAACCTTCATTGAAGAAAAAGAAAATGTTTTATTTCAATCCTGTAAGTGCAGGCAGAAAACATGTTTGATTGGGATCCAAACTATTTACACACAGAGATCATTTTGCTCAGCTCCCCTGCATTAAAATTTTTATCTTTACTCTTTTAAGGGTCCCCTCACATTTAATCCTTATGTAAACACACTTATGCACTGTATACACACACCACAATCCATAAACAGTCAGCTGCAGCAGCAGGACGCAAAATTGGACTGTCAGTCAAGTGGACAACCTTTAGACGGCCACAGAATCCTGCAGACATTACTGTAATGAATAACAACATACACGTACGCCACGCACACACACCTAGTGCACGTTCTACCCTCTACTCAATCTGAGACAGCTCCTCATGCACCGAGCCAGCTGTTCCTCATCACATTTGTCCTGTGTGGACACACCCGTCTTCACAACCCTTCAAGCTCTCTGGTTTTTAATTTTGCAGTTTTTAATTTCACCTTTTGAAATCATGAAGTATTCAGGCACGGAGGACATCCAGGAAAGAGGACAATGAGGTTTGACATTCCTCTGAGATTATATGGAAAAAAAAATCCAAAACAGACTTTTTAAAAGTCATTGCTGATAAAATGTAGTAACCTACGGAGGTAACTGCTGCTCACATCTGGAAAGGAATAGGAGCCAAAAACACAGTTAACTTTTTTGCACTGTCATGGCAAAAAATTGGACACGGATCTCACTCCAGACAGATTGTCCAGCATCTCGACCGTTCTGTATTTCCTCTCATTTCTCCTTGTCTGCTCTGTCTCATCTTGACATTCATGTTGACTTATCACTTTTATAATGACTTTGCCAGGAAGGATGTTCCCTGAGGACATTTGTCTGCTGAACAGTGCTTTATAAATATAGCGGTAATTAAACTATTGGAAGACATAAACAGACAGAGCCCACTCAAATCTCCTGTCTGTTATATTTTTGTTTTTTTCTGAAACCTATTTACTAAAGACAACTTTATTGTTATGACATTTACTGCACTCTAATGACCTTGTCTTTGTCTTCTTGATGTAGGAGATGTTCACGCCAGAGTGCAGGTTTAAGGAGTCTGTTTTTGAGAACTACTACGTGATCTACTCATCCACTGTGTACCGTCAGCAGGAGTCAGGCCGAGCCTGGTTTCTTGGCCTCACCAAGGAGGGACAAGTCATGAAGGGCAACCGAGTCAAGAAGACAAAGCCCTCATCGCACTTTGTGCCCAGGCCCATAGAAGGTATGAGGAACGTCTTGAAGTTAGTCAGCACATTTAACTGAAACAAAATATCCTGAAGTTGGATAAAACTTTTACTGAAGTAAAGGGAGCAAATACAGAGAAAAAGTCAACTGTATCTGTTAAATTGACCATGTCATTGTAATAATGGCAATTCTTAGCTTCTTAACTTCGGTACACCTTGAAACCAACTGAGAGCAGGAGTTAATGTCCAGTGCCTCAGTATAAACTGCTCCGGTCCTCACCTTTCTGTAAGCAACTTCTTCAACTTTTTCACAAATTATGTGTCGCAGAGTCTGTGTTAACCACCAGGGGAAAGTCCTCTGGTTGAAATACGATGCTTGTTAAAAGGAAGACGATGGGATTATGAGCCTACATCTCACTTGATTTATCACACAAGTAAAAAATCTTTATGAGGAACTCATGGTCACAGAGACCAGCTTTATGTCTGTTTTGTACCAGACTTGAAGATTTCCCATAAAAGGAAAATGTAAGTTACATTTTTAGACTATGAAAAAGATTGGTTTAAGAAGTGTGGGTAGTACTGTAGTATTCTGAGCAGGCTTCAAAGTAAGCTTTATTTTACCTTTGGAAGAAAGTGTCTATTTTATATATGCTGTCTTTTCTAACATGTTTCCAGAGCTCAGTGTAGTAGATAATATCAAGAGCACTTGTAAAGTAGAGCGATAGAAAAGTGCTGACTCAGACGTAGAGTCCTGCGTTATCTCTCCTAGCCTGATATAATTGTCCCTCCAGTCTCTCTCCTGACCTGGTCTCCTTCTGCACATCCATCTTTTCCATCTCCATCGTTCCCTTCCTGAGCACTTTTTTCTCCTTTATCATCTCCTGTCCTGTCCTCTTCCCTCCTCTCCTCTCCTGTCACCCCTGCCCTTCCTCCACTCCCCCGCCATAGTTTGTATGTACAGGGAGCCATCACTGCATGAGATACAGGAGGACAAGCATCGCTCCCGAAAGAGCTCAGGGACTCCCACTATGAATGGAGGGAAAGCCGTCAATCAGGACTCCACATAACATTGATGGGAGGGGCTTCTACTAGTGGGGCGTGGCCTCATCCAGCTTCAGAGAAGAAGGGCCACTGGAAAAGTCATTGTCCACGAGAAATATACCATCATGGCCTCTGAAACAACAGAGGGTGTTGTGACGACACCAAGGGGCTTCGTAATACTGTACAAGACAAAAACTGAACTTTTGCCTGTGAAATACTTTTAGATGAATTAATATAAAACCAATCATGTATATATATATAGAGAGGTAGATAGATATAAAGCATATCTATCTATCTATATATATATATGTGTATGTCTATATATATGAGAAGAGCATTATTTTCAAACAGGACTTGACCAATATTTTATGCAAAAAAGCTGTGATAAATGAAGAATGGTGGTCTCTCTCTTCACACGAATACAAATATCTATCATTTTCAACGTATGCTGTGAAAAACGAGCTTTAATACTCATTCAATTTTCATATACAGATTTTGTCTTAACGCTATTGCACTCCCATACACTGTGCCTCTTTTGGCAACTGTGTCATTCAATGACCCCATGTTTTTTTTTTTTTTAGCCTAAAACACAATTTTCATTTGCTCTTGTTTTGTTTTGCATCTTTTTCTTGTAATATAATCTTGGTTATGAAGGTTGGAGTGAATGTATTTGATAGTTCTCCTGGTTGGAGTCCAACTGAATCAGAGTGATCACAGGACAGGATGTTCTCTACTCAGGTGTGTACTGTATGTTAGACTCATGAGAATGATGGACAGATGGGGCTTCCCCATGTTGTCCTACTGCGAAAGTCAGGACTGGAACAAGCAATATAACAGATAGCCGTCTCGTATGTATCTGGATTATTTTGAATAAGATGACACTGTATCTCCATGACGGGCGCGTAAGTCAGTGAAGAAGACCGACTGAGAAAGTTGTTAAAGGAGGTGAAAGTCTGATTTGAGCTGTTTTGATATAGCCTCAGTTTAGTTCTTAGCGAGGATTGTTAGGTTTTAGCAATAGAGACGTCCGAACTTGTGAAAAACGACAAAGAAACCTGTTCTCTCTGCAGGTTGAGAGGAAAATAAAGACCAGCAGCAGCACTGTATGAGCCATGGCCCAAAAGGTCATTTCACATTTGCACCGCGAGACCCCTTTTACTCTGCTGTTAGTTCAGCTACACCAACAACTGTAACGATATTACAATAACCAACGCTTTGGCAGCATATGGACAAATTATTGTTGATCAAAGACGTCTTCCGCTTTTTTTAAGGAAGGTAAAGGTTGGACGTTGTTACGACAGACCCAGCAGTTAAAGAGTTCTATGATTTCTGCGTATTATTGCTAAAGCATTAGTGTTTTCTTCAGCAGACTTCACCACCTGCACGACTGTTCATTTATCAGCTGATCTATATCCGATGTAAGGTCTGGGAGTCAGACCTTTTTATCACAGTTGAAGCAAAGCAGTTCACCCAGTAGCCAGACTGCAGAAAGGCAAGGTGGCATCTCACCATTTCGTTTTCCTTCACTTGAATAACATCCCCCCCTCCGACCCCACCCGTTCGTTCCCTGACCCCTGAAACGAGCCCTTTGCATCGTTGTGGAGGAACGCTTCCCTGCTCACAGGGCTGTGTAGACAAGGTGAATCGTCTGGTACGCTGCACATGGCACTGTACACACTGCATAACTCATTCTTAATCTCCACTTAGCTTGTCTAACTCAGGAAGTCCTTCGGAGGGGGGTGAGATGTACAGCAATGGCTGACCGATCGCCATTCAGCGCTCATCGCACAAATCCTGGCCACTGATGTGGTGTTTAATGACGTCAGGCCGGGTCGAAGATGGTGTACAGCCAAGTGTAGCCAATAGGAAAGTTTAAAAAGTGGGTTGTCTGAAGAGGCCTGACAAAGCATGAACACTGCATGATTGTAAAAGCTGACGTGAGCTTTGTTTGTTTCCTTTAGGTGGAAGCAGCTAAACGATTGTTTTAAATTTCTAACAAATGGGTTCAAGACCATTTTTATGTGTTATTTTAGTCAGTATTTTGTTTTTTTTCAGAGAGAGAGTATATGTGTCTCTCTATCAACTGGTTGGAAGTTTTATGCTGGGTTGCTGGTACATACAGTAAATAGCACATACTTAGATGCACAGAGCAAACTGCAGTGATTTATCCTCATATATTTGGGAGAATATTCCACCCGGGCACAGGTGGCAACTAACCTGTAAGAGCCAGTGGTAGACTAGTTCAACCTCCGACATCATCTTAACAGCATTACAGTGATACATATAGTATGTTTGACTACTGTGAAAGTCAACAGGCAAGACCAGCATATATCAGTATCTTTTTATATACAGGTTTATATTGGTGCACATGAGATACATGTGGATTTAAAGCAATGCATGAAAATTGGATGTACTGTACAGGATCTCAACTGTGGCATCGGAATGAAAGGATTTCAGCAAAAAGATGAATAAAACATGGGTGTAAAATAGTGGGCCGGAGGGGAAAAAATGAAAAGAAAAGCACTTTTTTTGGCAGGATTATTGATGCGTGAAAGGACGAAGCGAAGAATGTGATTGTATTTGGTATGGAGGATAATTTGTTACTTTTATGTTTGCAGAACACGCTCATATATGCATTACGGATTGTGAGATGAAATTAAAAATATGCATTGATACATAAAAAAAAATCAGAATGAAGTTAGTGATTGTTTAAGAATAAAGACTATGTTATCAAAGCCGCTCACCTACGCAGTGATTGATTCGGTGTTTGATTGATCAGAACTGACACATTTGGAGTTTGATCTTTGCACTGCATGAGAAACAGAAGGACACATTAATATTCCAGTCAGAGTCCAAACACCTCACTTCAATCTCCTCACCTGGGCTGATTTATCGTCTCGCATATCCCCCTAAATCCGATGGGTCGCTTTTGGGATGGCATGCTGTCGCCCCTTAATTCTCTTGTTGTCATGGAAACAGACCTTCCTTGCTGTCTGCAAAGGGAATGAGGAGGAGGAAGAGGAGGAAGATGAAGGCTGCACTGACTTTCAGGATGTGGATTGTGTACTTTCCTGCCTGATGGCTGCAGCGCACAGAGCAGCATATTTAGAAGAGGGAGTGTGTGACAGAGGGTATGTCGTTCTGTCTTCTGTTTTCTTTTTTTGGTGTTTCCTTTTATTACAGTGAACAACGCCGAGCAGAACGGATCTGCAACCTTGGGGACAAAGAGGAAATCACCTCACGATGAGACAGGAAAATAGAGTAAAGTCAAAAGTAAACCACTGCGACTTTATGTGCTACACTTTATTTTCTTGTCAAGTCTGAACAAATGTTTTCATGATGTCCTTTGTCGGACAGTTTCTCCCCTTCATGCACCATGATGGTGTTTGATTAACACTTGTCCCCAAATCCTCTTAAAGCCAATGGAGACATGTTGACAGCTGTGGCATCAGTCACATCAATTCACAACCAAAGTACTCCATGAGGAGAGCCCTTTAAATTCATCGATGTATAGAAGAACAGAATAACCTGATGGTCAGGGAACTTTTAACAAGGCTCGGCGCCACGGCCGTGTGTCGATTACCTCTGATGTAGGGCCCCTGGAGTCTCAGGAAACTTCCTTGAATGAATGGGCCAAATGCCAAATTTGATTTTTCACTGTGGTCGATAAAAGGTCGCGATGAGGGCCAACATGTCTGAAGTGAATTTACTGCATAGGAGTAAAGTACCGCTGCAGTCTCTCAGGTGTAGAAACAGAAGACGTCTGTTCTACACAAACTGTCGTCAAACTAAAATCTTACTGTTTCATCTTCACACACACTGAGGAAAAAAAAAATCAGATTCAACTGCTGAATGATGAAATAAACAGAACACACGTTAAACAACATCTACTGCTACTTACCATCTCGTCTCCCCTCTTCGTCCCCCCAGATGAACAGCTGTGCAGTCTGATGGCATGTGGGACAATCTGCCTGAGTTACCAGCCAGGATGATGTCATCATCTAACGTAAACATTAAACATCTGACTCATACTTCCGTCTAAATCAAGTGAGTATCAGTGCAATACATGAAACTGATAAAGCTTTCCTTTTGGAAGCCATGTTTAAAAACTGAAAAAAAACAAACTCTCAAGTAAATGTTTCCTGATGTATTTACCAAAAGATGTACTGTGCATACAGAAGTACTACTTAAAACAATGGAACACGTCCAGTTCTTTTTATAGGTTTCACTAGGGAAGTGTATGCACTACATCACCATCTGTACGTCCATTTGCAACAAACTGTGCCTGACAACCAATTAGACGGTGCCATTCAATTCATTTTATCCTATGTAGAAACCTGACCTAGATTAATCATGGGATGGAACTTGGGCAGTGTTTTGGGTTGTTTGTGCCAGGAACCAAATCAAGATGACGGCATTTTGTATCTTTATATTCCAAAAGTATCAGTTGAGTTTAAACTGAGACTGAGAATCGAAATGAAAATATCCCAAATTAAGAGAATGAAAAAGACATTTCCTTAGATACAATGTTGTAACTACTTCTACAAAGTAATACTGAATTCCCGTCTTTGAGAATGCGTTCCATGTTTCCCTTTTTGAGTCACATGGTTTCTGTCATATCTCGTCAAAGACTTTCTTTTTCTTGTCATGTTCCAACACTAATCTCACACATTTACAACCTATTCTCTTAATTTAGTTTCTTTTTTCCCTCAGTGTGGGCCAAATACTCATTAACACTAACAAAACAAATCCAGCAGTATAAACAAATAACATATTGAAATTTAATTACACCCACCTGAGTGTGTAATCACAAAACCACTTAGCGAAACAGGTGTTTGTCACAATCAATATGCCGTCCTGTCCACTGCATGCACCGATGTAATTAACTTCCAGAGGACAGAAACACGTCAAGGTCACCTACCTAGACACCCCCTGGGGGCGCTAAGGGTCGTCTCTTCAGATGCATGCAGGGAGGGCGAAAACCTGTAAACAGCTTGAAGGCCATTTTCTTCTCTTTCACTGCTCGTGGTTCGTGCTGCTTCTCTCACGTCCAACTGTCCTTCCTGGTTTCCCTCTGCTGTTCAAAGTCAACCTTGGCCTAAGTCTCTGCTTTCAAATCCCCTGGAGAGCAAAGGAACTGATGGATATGGACAAACATTTAACACATATGAATAATTCAAAAGCCCAAGCATGTAAACAACACATTAGCACCTCATTGTATTTTGCTTACAGAAGCTAAAGCTATCAATGAGAGCATTTTATTGCACTCTGTTTAATACTGTAACTAGGGCTGTGAAAATGACTCGTTTGACAGCACTAATTGTGATGATGACGGTTGCAAAGTGAGTTGTTTATTTATTTTTAATAAAATCTCCCATTGTCCTCCATTGAAAAAGTTTGAACAACATATGCATGAACCATAAAAAAAGTTTATGAGTTTATGAGAAAGTGAAGGTTATGATTGGCCCTCTACTGACAATTCTACTTATCCGTCTTAACATTAGCAAAAGTCGGGCCATAAACCAGAGTTGTAAAAACTGAAATGTAGTCACAGCGATCTCACAAAATAAAAAGCAATTGAATCACAGATTATTACAACCCATCCCGAGGGTAACGCCGCTACCAATTTATTTTTAATGTGTCAATCTAACAGGCAGGAAAACTCAGGGGAAGAAATGAGTCAGCTTGCTACATTATCGGTGCCTCTTGAATGTACTTTTTTTCAGTGATATTTTTAGACCTGTGTGTTGGGATCACCTTTGAGCGATGCTGCTAAAACCTCCAGTGGAATTTTTTTATTATCTGTACGAGCAGATTCTGCCTCTGCCTCTGCCTATGGCTGGAACTTTATTTACTTTTCTCTTATTATTATAATTTTACAGACTTAACAAGTGGTTATCTTAGGAAACAACAGGATCTGGTTCATCAAAAACTGCAAAAAAGTACCACATCTTATCATTATATTATTACTAGAAAGAAAAACACCCCAGGCAAGTTCTCTGGGTTCCACACATCTGAAATGCACCAATAGACAAAAAACATGTTCTGTGGATGGAGCGGTTTGCATTTGAGCAGAAAAACAAATAATGTTTGCATCAGATGGAATGGCATTATGCATTTGCACCCATTTGAAGTTGCCTTTTGTAATGAGGCTTTTGCTAAGTCTGTTTTTTATATGGAGATGGTTGGTGTAAAAGCAGAGGTGGTGATAGGGTGAGATGGAGGCAGATGATTTGCTGTGGCAACCCCTAAAGGTTAGTGAGGGATGGCGACGGCATACTTGATTATATTCTACATATTTGTCTAGATGGATCAGTCACCACTTCATATGCTCCCATCACTGCATCTTTTATCAGGAATTAACCCTAACCCTTTTATAAAAATGTCTGATGCATCAGGAGGAGAACCAGAAATACAGAGACATTCTTTATTCTCACAGGGTGAGAAGGCAAAAGTTCCCCTTGCCATAATCAATACTCTCAATTTAAAAGCGTAATTAAAGGATCCAGTGGAAAACTTGTCTCTGTTCCAGATACTTAAGTGTGTTGCAGGTGCTTATATCTAAATTTATGTTTATAAATATATTTGTTAGCCACTGTCAACTGCTTTTCTTTATCCTTCTACCCGACGAATGATAAAATGATTGAATAATATCTGTTGAATTCTGTTAGAATCGTTTTCTGTAACAAGGTTTCACAGCATTTAAATACATGCCATTAATCATGGTTTCAGTGGTACTGATGCCTGCTGAATATTCTTTTCAGCTCAGTTATCCTGCGCAGAACTATGCCTTATATGCAAAGCAGAGAATCCGCAGTGAGCTGCATCAACACAGTCGCCTATTTTCGGCCCGTACTTTCATCTACACGGACCTGAACATGACTTTGTCTTCTGCCGACTCATGGAGTAAAAATATTCTTTATCCTTCATCCTCTATCCCGGGCATTTCTCTTGCCTTTCGTCCCTCTCTTTTTTGGCCCTGCTGTTTTTGGTGTGGGTCTATGCCACTGGGACTCCATTTGTTTCTCTTTGCCGTTCTTCCCAGGGAGATAATGAGGGAACTCCTACTCAGAAGTGGTTCGCTCAGCTCTCTATTCAATTAAGGCTCAGCGAGGCTCTTTGATCCAGGCGGTGCAGTGTTTCTGTGTTAAGTCTTTTACATCAAAATCAACTGTTCAGAGTTTGCACAACTGGGTAATTGGTTCTCATGTGTTTACTCACATGGAAGTAGGAATGAGAGGAGGGCAGGGAGAAAGGGGGCTACTTGGGAATGCTTTTCCATCTTGGAATTAAATGAGCTTTGATGGTTGACGAGAGTGCATTTCAATTTCTCCCGAAGCTCCTTGTGAAGCAGCCCACTCTTCCAGGATGACAAAGACGGATCGCTGTGTCTCCCTTTCTGTTTGTAATTGGCTGTATTTGGCTTTGCCTGTTTGAATACTACGAGGACGACCGTCAGCAAACACAGTGATTCCACAGAGACATATAATCCATGTACAGTACAAACATGCGCCACCCGCCCACACAGAGTGCAAACCCACACACTCGCCCGCCTGCCCACTCATCCTCTCGCCCTTTTGTGTTTTCTACTCTCGCTCAGTCCATCAGTTGAGTGAAGAAGCTCTGCAGTATGAGCATGTTAATGTGCTGGCATTGGTCCTGATACAGAGGGGAAGCTGTTCAGTGAATCCCAATAGCACAGGAAGCCAGTAAGGATAATAAGCCAAGCCTTGACTGCTGTTATGGTCCATCACAAATGTGTGATGTTCCCCCACATCCTCTTGTGCTCTCGTCTTCTGCCTCTGTTTACTTCCTAACATTCCTGAGCTCTCCCTCGCTGCACCCCGTCCATTTTTCTTAAGTTTCCTTTCTGCACAGTAAACACCTCCACCTGTCTGGGTTCAGGCAGTTCTCTGTGAAATCCTCCCAAACTTGTACATGCATGCATAATATTTGCTGTATCCAGTGGAAAATCTTTTGAAATTGCATTCAAAACATCCATTTGCTGCTAAGCTACTTAATTGGATCAATGCTGTAAGCGTACACACTGCTGAATCCACAGCGCTGCACATTAGACACACACAGGCATTTATCAGTAAAAGAGCAAATGGTTTAATAAATGAAATGCACACTGCAGTGCAGCACTGCGCTTCTTCACAGAAACCCTGACCTCGATCCTAATGTTTTGAATAATAATTTATATCATTATTTATTTATCAACGAGATTTTTGAGAAAAGTCATTTGTTTTCAACTCTGTCTGTAGACATAGGGCTGTGAGACACACAGAGCTTTAATCAGATTTTATAGCTTTTAGCAATTCCCCCAGAAGACACTTAAAAAACCCAAAAGTTTAATTTCTTTTGGATTGAAGTCGAGCTTTTAGTAAAAAAGTAATTATATACAGTATATATATAATATATTTTTTTCTTAATCATCTGATCAGTTTGTCTGATATAAAAATGTGTAAATTCATTCTGTTTAAATACTGTTCTCACTCTTTTTAAAGCCAAATTTACCTGCAGGTGAGATTTGGGTTTTAGATCACACTTTATTAACTCCCAGTGATTCTTCGCAGTCTCATCAGTCCAACATTAAATTTCTTTTTATTTGCTTCTATATGTGAATGACACACACATCCAGCTCTCTCTGAGACTGGACAGCTCTGCTTTAATGGAATGTTAGGCATTAAACTGGTGCTTTTATGTGCACGCTCTCACCAGAAAGGCTGGATGGTTGATTTCATTACCTCGGGCTGAGCCTTTTTTATATACACCAGAGGTCGATCTTCTCCACAGAGACAGACATTTTAGATCACCTTGATTTTTTTTTACATGAGCTCACAAACTAAAAACTTTTCTTGTTTAAATAAGGATGTCCTCAATCTGAGCATTTTTTCTGACGATAAATCTTTTCATCGTGAACGATGGAAAAAAGCTTTTAGAATCAACTTTTCTTTCAAAAAATGTTTACATTTCATATCCTTGAATGTCTGATATTACCTAAGAGAAATTTACCTTAAGAGAAAAAGTTTAATACAACCTAAAAAAAAAGATTCCATGTTTGTAGACATCAGTCATATCCAGGGGATAATAAATGGATGTCTCTGAGGGAGACCAAATGCTCTCATTTTATTTCAAGTCAATGTTGATTTAACAGAGAGAAGAACAGCCATCTTTATTGGAGTGGAAATAATGTCACAGACTCGAAACCACTAACAAAAGCTGCTGCCACAAAAGCATTGATGATTAAATGAATGATTGTGATTTTCGATGCCTTCAAATAAATCACGGGGAAAGTCAAACAGAACGCTCTTTTTCGGAGGGAAGTGGAGCGCGGCCGGTGCTCAGCAGAGCCTGCAGAGTTTTGCAGTTCTCTGCAGGGATTATTTATCCATCGTTTTTGACCAGCAGGGTTTTTACTGCTGCCTCTTCACTCTGTCATTTCATTTCCTAATCATAAAATATTCAAGGCCCACTTCATTCTGACGAGGACAGTCAGGTGCATTAAATAATGCAGGCATTCAGAACCAGCAGGTTCACCTATTGTTTGCCTCCCACAATGAAAAGTGGCTGAGGTGCTTTATACAGATATGGAAGTTGGTACAATTCCAAAGATCTCCACTGCCTCAGGAGCAGCCAAAGTCAAATGAAGTTTTCTTTTTGAAATAGAGGAATGAAACATGAGCGTGACTAAGTTTTATTTTTTAAGACATTTGACATGTGCCGTGACGTTTGCAGGATGAGTATGTATTTACATCGGTCCAAGTTACAGTCAGGTATTCATGGGCATACTCTCATCTTTAACAAATGCATTACTACAGTGATGTACAAGAGGCAGAACAGAGGTTTTTAGGTGTAGCACTCAGGTTGTAACGGAGTTAACAGGAAGTCCAGGATTTCCAGAAGAAGACTCGACAGCCCGCTCTGCGAGTTGTAAGTCCATTCCTCACATCGCGTCGATTCTTCTCCTGCTTCTCCGTGTCTCTAGACCCTTGGTGGTTTATTCCATTCTCAGATTTCAAGAACTCCATTGAGAACAAGTTCCATGTCTTAGATGATTCCTGTAGGAGAAAAATAAAAACAGAAAATATAAGCCAAAGTGAATTTTCACTCTAGTACTTGATCTTGGAGTTGTACTGCGTTGTTAATATTAATTTTACAGTTATTCAGCAAATACTTTCCCAGTTTTCCTGATAAATATTAGCTCATGCAAATTAGGTAGTAATTCAACTGCCACTGTAGTTGAGACGTGTTCACCAGGTATTAAGGTTTTTGTAGTCGTTTTTAAACAGAGTATATCAACAGAAAAAACTTCTTACCCGCTCGTCTCGTAATTTTCCCAGCCACAAAAGTGAATTTTGCTGAAGCTGCAGGTCTTTTACTCCCTGCTCGGTCCGTGTGTTTCCCACTACACATGATGCAAAAAATAAAAGTGCCAAGATGCTGACGATGAAAGACATTCTTAGAAGAATAAGAATTTTTTTCTTCTTATTTTTAAATAAGATAACAAAGCAGTCACCAATTTACTCACTGACACAAGAAGATGCAGCACTCTTTTATAGCTGGTACCTTCTACCACAAAGGGGAGGAGTGTCTAGGTTGTCTGCGTCATGTCTTCTCCCAGTTTGCCCATCAGGGTACTGGAGCATGTAGCATGTGATTTACAGCTGTCATTAGGGGTAAGACCAAAAGTCTAAATAAGGATGTTTTCGCTCCAACCTGATCATTCCGGGTGTCACCATTAAAATAAACACACTGTAGTCAGGCTGTAAAGCAGGAGGTCACTGCGATGCTCTCGTTGGTGTAACCTGTCACCGTGAAAGCGCCCCCTCCTTGTTTGAAGGTGGTTTCTAGTGAAAACTAAATGAGACATCGTGTAAATTGAAGCATTAATGACGCACGCACTGGGGAAACAATAGTTTTATTAAAACATGCGGCGCCATAAAGTTAAATCCATGGGTTACGCAGAGATGCTTCCATGAGACCATGAAGGTCAACTCATCATTTGTTATACCCTTGTGAGTTTGGTCTGTGCATCTCTTTAATGAGATTTCTGCTCTGCTTAACTTAACAGTTCTGCTGCATCTGAATAAGAGGAATGTTTGTCACATGCTGTAAATGTGCAACTGCGATGCACAGCTGGGTAATTCAGTAAGACCTCCTAATATCAGACAAGTACAGTGGTGATTACAGTTTTACTTGAAATCATGTAAATAAACAATGCTTGATGTTGCATTTGTCATTACATTGAATATGGTGTTTTCATAGAATTGAAGAATTCCATCTTTGCAGAATGTTTGGGGATGGCGTCTTGGCCAGTATTTCTTTCTTTCTTTCTTTCTTTCTTTCTTTCTTTCTTTCTTTCTTTCTTTCTTTCTTTCTTTCCTTCTTTCTTTCTTTCGTTCTTTCTTTCTTTCTTTCTTCATCCATCCATCTATAATAAAGCAACCTTGAAGGACAATAAACTTTCCACAAACACTTTGTGTCACCTGAGCCCACTGTAGCCCCCAAACAGTTAGTAAGAACACTGCAGGCTGCAGAATAATCCCTTTTAAGTCGGCTGTGCAGATAATTCTACAGCAGAACCTTTCTTCTACAACTCCTTGCCAGAGACCATGTAAAACATTTTATTCAAAGTGGCATCAGTGAAGTGGCTGTTTCCATGGCATGTGTCAAGAGGGCTTTAGGTAAATATTCTGATACTAATTTCATCCTGGCTTGTTATTCATACAGGCAGACTAAGCCTCTGTTTGGCTGTGATAGCTGCCTTTGTTATAAAAGCCCACTGGGCTGTTTGTTATTTGACTCGGAGCAGTCGATATCCTGTAACATCGCCTTGCCAAAAGGAAACAGTATTTCAAACCCAATATTGATGGTAGCTGTTACTGTGGCTTTTTGCATTCAGCTCAACCACATATTGATCACTCTGGCAGCTATGGATGACCAAGTTTGGGGTCTGAAGTGAAAGCACTGAGTTTTAAAAAAATGAAATGAAGAATATGTAATTATTCACATTGTAGTAATGGCTTCTTTTAAGTGATACTTAGAATCAATATTAAGGATGGTACAGGAGTCACAAGAGTAATAACTATTTCTCTTCATCATAATTGCATTCCATTTCCATTTCCTCAAACTGGTAATTTAGGAATGGGACATAAAAGGCGGTGGGCTGCGTAAGTCATAAAAAGTAATCTTTTCCACGCACCATTTAACACGTGGAGATTCAAGGAGGTTGTTTTCAGAGGGAGGACACTGATGACTCAATGTTTGCCCATGTTTGCCATTTAAATGCAGGAACAAGTCACATTTACAACATTCCTCCTCTCCTGAAGTCATGGAAAAATGTATGACAGTTGTTGCATGACGTCAAAGTCATTCACTGACTAGACCGGACCAGTTATTTCAGGGCACATGCAGAGTGAAAATGACACAGACAGCAGAGGCAACTGGAGTGTTTTTAATTCAAAATACATTGTCACATATAAAATAGTTTAAAAGGATAAAAACAAAGGATAAACTGTAAATCTATAGTCAAATCAACATTGAAAAAGAGTATGTAAAACTTGGACTGGAAACATTTCTGCTATTTCTAGTGAGTTCAATACCAGAACAATTTCTCTCTATAAACGTATTACTATAAAGAACCAGTACATTCTGGTGACACTACACAATCCTTCAAATATAATGGATATAATTTGCAGTAGATATAGCAATTGGCAGTAGATATTTGGCAGTAGCAAGAGTTTTTCTTAGACATCAAAACATAAAAATATTAAACTTCTAAAATGGTTTTCTACAGACCCGGCATCGGCTGATGACACTTTGTAAAGAGTCTCCCTTCACGGTCTGTGGAACTGGTTTCCTGCAGAAGAAAAACCAAACTCACACTGTTATGGAAATAGACACTAAAACTTTATTATATGGGGGCGTAGATTCAGAGCAGGAAGTCATTAAAATCAACAAAACTATTGTCTAAGAGAATTGCCTGGAAAGTTATACTGCAACGGAAAATATCTGTAATAGTCGTGTGAAGAATTAAATATGACACTTAAATTTACTGTGATTTTTACATGATTTGGATGATTCTGCTTAATGAACGTCAGTTTACCTAAACATATTGTTGGGATCCACAGAGGCCAGCCAGTAGCTATAGGAGTCGGGATAGTAGTTACATGTTCCTTTGCCATGACATTCAATGAAGGGCACTTGGTGGAAATGTTCTAGGCAGGAGCCAGGAGAAACCAGAGGCTGTGAGGAGCCACCGGCACCAGCGCCTGTTTGCTGCAATAGATGAAAGTCAATAGAAAAAAACAACATGGTGCAGGGACATAATGCTTTTCTTTACCATGACAAATGAGTAGCCAGTCCACAGAGATTCCCATCCTTGGGGACACTGAGGTATCAGAGTGGTCTGGCTGTGGACCGCCAGGACATTGGAAGTCATTTCACACACTGAGCACCTGAAACCATAGATACATGGAGACATTGTAGTTGGAGTTGAACAGAAGTCAAATAGTCAAATCATTGTATTTGACAATACATATACATATATAAATATTTTATCATTTGGTTTACAGTTAGTGTTGTGTATTGTGTGCCCTAAAGTAAAAAAAGAAAAGAAAAATTGTACCACGGAAATGTCAAACGTCCGTATGCACCCAGACTGATGCCTCGAAAATATGCAAGAGTCTGCATCTTTCTTATTAATGCAGATTCCCATGGTGGGGGAAACAAGTAAAAGAGCTGAACTATGAACTCTATCACATTCCCAGCTGTGTCCTAAAGTTGCAGAGTTCTGGTTCACAGTCAGACCAGAGCCTGGACCGGCATGACACTGTGCAGCCTTACTGTTGTTCTGTTTTTCTGCTTCTGCTCTCACTTTGACATATACTGTAGGAATCCATTTTTATGAGTTCCTTGGATACACAGGGGATATAAATATACAGTATGTGTGGATGCACCTGCTGATGTAGGATGCCAGCCTATCTTCTGTGACAGAGACCATGTCGGTTGGCACAGGAGTGTCAGTAGACAGCCAGTATGAGTAGTCATTACGAGAGGCATAGCGACAGTTATTTTCTGTGTCACAGAACAGGAAGGGCATGGTGGAGAAACGAGGGAGGCAGCTTCCCATTGTGCCTGAGACAATTTCAAGTATTGGAAGAGAGACATAAAAATGTTTTTATATTTCATTGCACTGACCCAGCACAGTACTGTGTTGTTTCCATGCTCTTACCAAGGTCCTGACCGTGAGTTCGCTCATTTCCATTGATGAAGAGAAGGGAGTAACCAGAGTAGATGAGGGTGGAGCCATAAGGACAGTCTGGTACGTGAATGCTCTGACTGTGTCTGGTTATCATAAAGCTGTCAACAAAACATGGCAAATCTCTTCCTGGAAGTCCTGGAAGTCCTGGAAGTCCTTTGTGGCCTGGGTTTCCAGGTCTTCCTTCTAAACCTGAAGAGGAAGTCATTACATAAATAGAAATAGATAATAAAAATAAATGATTGTTATTGTTACATAATGTGAATAATGATGTACCAACACTGTTGCTGGTATCAATATGTGGCCAAATATGTACATATTTATACCAGTACACAAACCCATGTATATTAGATGCAGAAACCTGTAACACATTCCATGCTTTTTTTTAAATGTGTTTTCGTATATCTAGACAGACAAACACGTACCTGGAAGTCCTGCTGTTCCTTTATCTCCTTTGATGCCGGGAAAACCTGGAGGTCCAATTGGACTTGAACCATGTGCTCCTTTAATGCCTGGCTTTCCTGAATCCAGCAATACACAGTGCAATGGAAAGCAGCAACCTTAACCAACCTTAACCAGGGTAACCTCAGAAATCAAACTAGGTATGAAATAAAGCTAAATTTTGTACCTTGAAGTCCAGGCGGTCCTAACAGTCCACTGATCCCTGCAGGTCCTCGGTTCCCAGGGAGACCAGGTAATCCAGGAGGTCCTGGCTCAGGTTTGAATCTGGGAAAGTTTGGTTCACCTTTTCGCCCTGTAGCCATGTTCAAAGAATTGTTAGGAAATTAGAAAGGAAAATATTGATGTGTAAGTTGCTAAACTGTGAATCTTAGTTGAATCCTCTTCTATGACTTAGTAGTAAGACAGATGTATCATGTACCAGGAGGTCCGGGGAAACCTTTTGATCCAGGAGGACCCTGTGGGCCTGCGATGTATCCAGGGTCTCCAATACAACCTTAAATCACACATATATTCCTCATTTTACATCTTTGCACATGGCAGAAAATCTCTTCCTCATACATCTGTTCATTCTTTCTCCTTCATTTCGGGTCCCATTTGTATTTCCTTTCACATATTAGAACATAAATCAATAGCGAATCTATTTGTCTTCTCTGGTGACAGATCTGCCTTTGTCTGTGCAGAAATTCAAAGAGAGCACCTAATTTAAGCACTGACAGTAGAAATGATAGATTACCTGGAGGCCCTTGGAATCCTGGAGGACCAAAATCACCTTTAGGCCCCGGGCCTCCTGGTCTGCCTTTTTCACCCTGGGGAAACAAAGAACAATGAAAAGTCAAGGATTAGACTTATATAGCACAGGCATTGGAGTTACCTTTTTCACGACTCAGAGGTAAATTTATCAGTATCACATGTTATGTAACCACAGGGTATACTTGACATTACTATAATCTAAGAAAATTAACATAAAGCAGGATTTGACTAGACTATGATATATATTCTGTCACATACAGCCGGTCCTAGGGGACCTGGATCTCCTGGTGGTCCACTGTGACCTGGGTTTCCTGAATGACCCATGTTCCCTCTGTCTCCTTTTAATCCAGGTTCTCTGGGATATGAAGGTCCTGGAATGCCAGGACTGCCTACATAAAAAGTGAGTAAAAAGTTGATGGAAGAAGTCCTGATACAGTAACCCTGTAAAGAAAGGCACCTCAACTGTGTTTGGAAATGTCAGAAAAAAAAAATTGCAATGCAGTACAGACTCACACTCACACACACACACACACACACACATATATATATATATATAATATTTATTATTATTCACATGTTCTTTAAAGTATTATAGTGTGTTTGCCCATAAATAAAAGATAAATCATTTTAAAATGTGAGAGTAGCCACAGTTGCTACACGATTCTGCTTCAAAGTTGATGATTTTTTACTCATTCAACATACAAATAAAAATGTTTTTCTTACAGGTGTTATACTGTAGTATGTGTTAAGAACCTATCCTTGGAACATATACGTTTCCTGACCTGGCAGACCAGGATTTCCAGGTAAGCCTTGATCTCCTTTTGATCCAGGAATACATGTCCCTTCTCTTCCAGGTGTTCCCCTTAAGCCATTGGTCCCACATTGACCTGGAGTTCCTCTGTCTCCTGTAGGTCCTGGACTTCCTGTCATGGACAGGCCAGGTGGACCAGGGTTCCCCGGGGGGCCTAATATAACAGACGGAGGAAATAATTGAGTAACGTTCTGTTTACAAAAAGTCATGAGGATAAAACCATTTTACCTGTGACTCACCTGGTCGACCTGTGTCACCACGTCTTCCTGGTGTCGCTATAGTAATGGCTACAGAGCAAATAGGTTAAAAAAACAAAAAACAATGAACCTCTGAATACATTTACAACTTTGGTGTAATGTAAAAATAAGCACGTTCTGAATGTCAGTAAAAACCTGTAGGGTTGTGTGAGAGAGCCTAGCTCTATAAATATGACAAATGTCTTACTGTCGCCTTTCTGTCCAGGTGGACCAGGGATCCCATCCCGGCCTTGGTTGCCTTTTGGGCCCGGATAACCCTGGACACCTGGTAGTCCTTGGATCCCTGAGGTTGATGTTGGAGCATAAGGTACAAGTAAAAATAAAACTTAATAATATATAATAATAAACAATAGTCTTGTTTGAAGTCCATATTTTTTAAATGATCAGTAGGTTTAAAACAGCAGATATGAATGATATTTGATTGAAAGAGCTTTGCCTGGTGGACCATGAGGTCCTGGATGTCCTTTTATTCCAGGAGGTCCAGTTGAGCCTTTAGCTCCTTTAGGACCTTGGGGACCTGAAAAAGACAATCAGGTGGACACAAAAATACACAAGTAGGAAAAGTGTGGTATACGAGGTAAAAAAAAAAAAAAATACTGCAAATAATTATTAACCATTTTCTCCATCAGGTCCTGGATTCCCCTTTGGTCCATCACTTCCTGATATGCCTGCTCTTCCACTGACACCAGGTTGACCTTTTTGACCCTTCATCCCAGTAGTATTTGTTAGTCCTGGTTCACCCTTAAGACAGAGGATGAACTACTTAGATTTTTAATGAAAAATGTCAGAACATTTGCATCAACAACATTATTTTTATCATCACTACCTTTTGTCCTACTTCTCCAGGCGGTCCATGTTCACAGTCACATGGTTCTCCTTTAATTCCTTTGTGGCCAGTAGAACCTGGTGAACCAGGGAAGCCCGGCCCTCCTCTGATTCCTGGTTCTCCCTTAAGTCCTTTTTTACCTGAGGTAAACCATTTTTGCTGCATGTTACATCCAGTAGAGTTTGTTATTTTTAACAGTACTTTATAGTGAAATAAATTATTTTAAGAAAAATTTAGATTTTTCTTTTGATATATTCCTCTCCAAGCCCATCTTACCAGGTAGTCCTAAGACTCCTGGATCTCCTGGAAGTCCAGGAGGTCCTGGAGTACCCATTGACAACTTGAATCCATCAGTGCCTGGATCCCCTGGAGGCCCTGAGCAAAGGCACACACAATGTGAAAATAATAATAATAAAAAAAACTTAAACAAATGGAGAAAAACAAAAAGTCATATAAAACAATATCAAACCAAGACCTCTTGGTCCAGCACTTCCTCTCGGTCCTTCTAAGCCTCTGCGTCCTTTTGGCCCAATATTTCCAGGATCTCCAAAGCAACCAGATTGACCAGCGTATCCTAGAAAAATATTAGGAGAGAGGTACTGTAAGTAACAGCTTTCCTACCAAAGGCGCTAGGAACAAGAAGTTTATTAAAGAATAAGAAACTGCTTTTTCAGTTCAGATAAGTGTCAAATCTGCTGTAAAAACCGAGCTGGAGATAATATACAGGTTTTATTTATATCATCTCGTTTTGACTACTGGTATTATATTTTTATTGCTCAAATAGGAAGGAGCTTGACCGCCTTCAGGCTGCAGGGCATTTAACAAACACAGAAGAATGAACACACGATGTGTTGCTGCATATTTTTTTCAAATATTTTTTTAATCTGTGATCCATTCTAAAGCTGAAGTCCTTATTGTTATGTTATTTTGTTTCTAGAGGCACACATTCTCCTCTACATATCCTGTGTTGCTGCCACAGGCACTTACTGTCCTCCATATAGTCATCAGTCTCTGTTGACTTGCACCTGGAGGTTCTCTTTAGAAGTCCATGCCAAGGTAAGCCTCACTCTCTCTCAAATGCCCCTTTTTTAAACAAGAGGAAATTGATCCTGAAGCGCTGTAGCTACGAGACTGTGGAACACCCCTCTTTCATCTTCATGCTGCCTTCAATCTGTTAAATAGTTTTCCTGCTAATATTTTCTGTTTTATACCTAATGTTTTGCTCTTTAACTTGTTCTAGCTCTTGTTAAAAACTTCTACTTGAATCACGCCATGTGGATTTTTTTTATGATTTAAGTATCGTCAAGAAATGATATTGAACTTTACCCATAACTTGTATATATGAACTATGGAGACAGATATGATTAAAAAAAACAAATCTAATTCATTTTTCATTCTAAAAGGTGTGTTCAGGTACCACACTTCAATACATGTTAAATGTTAGTCTTCCAGTTTATCTTCCCGTGTCTATTCTACTGTATAGTCTTTATAGAAACATTTGACCTGAAACACCAGTGTCTCCTTGTGTCCCTAATAGAGGGCCAGAAGGACCCCTCAGTCCTGGCTCCCCAGGGATGCCTGGAGGACCTTGGGCACCCTTAGCTCCATCACGACCAGGGGAACCTGTGAGAGTAAAGGTCATGGGGTCATTTTCCTAAAAACTTCAGACCATACCTGCACTTGCACTGAATTATCAATACCTGGAAGAGAGGTAAGTTTCAAATTAAATGTGTTATTAACCAGTTCTGTATTTAATATAAAATGTATTGAATATAAGTTTTACCTAACTGTCCTGGTGGTCCTATAGGTCCAGGCAGCCCTTCTGGTCCATATCCTGGTAAACCATCTGGTCCACGGTCTCCTTTTGGACCTTGAATGAATACAAATCATATGAAAGCTGCAACAGAAAAAAATTTAAAGATGGGAAACACACTTGTGTGTACAGTACTGAGGTCTATTTAAAACAGTTGATGGACCTGGTTGTCCATGTACACCGTTTTGTCCCTTAAATCCTTTTCGTCCAGGAGGTCCCTGAAAACCTAGCACTGATGGACCGGGGTCACCAGTCTCACCACACCGACCTGGATGACCTGACCCTGGAAGACCTTGAGTTCCCTTCTCTCCAGGTAAGCCATTCTGTCCTGTTAGATCAACAGTGTAGTAAGAAGTGAGAACATATATATATATATATTTAATTTTTTTAGTTGTAACTGTTTATCTGAAGTAGCTGCAATTTTTTTCAATTTTTTTCCAGATTTTATCAACAAACCTGGTAATCCTGGATAACCGTCTGGTCCTGGAAATCCGGCTGGTCCAGATATGTTACATAAGCCCTTGTTCCCAGGCAGTCCTGGGGGGCCTATGATACCTTTGCTTCCTGCATTTACCATAACATTGTGCAGTCAGTGTACCAGGTGTTTTAGCCATATACCGTATATACCATGTGCAGTATTTGAAAAGGCATTTGTACCTTTTTCTCCTGGAAAACCTGGGGTTCCAGTTGGACCAGGGCTCCCAGGTCGACCAGAACCTCCAGGATCTCCTGAAGGCCCCTGAGCTCCAGGTTCACCTGTGGCCCCTGGGAGACCTGGGATACCACGTTTTTCCCACTGGCCATCACCCTAAAAGTCAAATGTATACAAGCTCAATATTTCATTATTCATATCAATAATTTCTATGCAACTTTCAGAGTTAATTTAACCTTTCACCGTGTGAGGGACTGTGCTCTGTAATTTTTGTTCGATGTATTTTCTACTTTTATGCTGAAATAAATACACTGAGAACCATATTTCCTTAAAAACTGATATTGTTCTATGGTAATGAAATATTCCATCATGATTTCTACAATATTTTTATTGTTACCTTTGCTGTTTTCTACTATTTGTAGAGGACAAGAAAGTTTTATAAATCCAAACGCCCCTGACCTTTAATCCTGGAGCTCCAGGAGGGCCTTGTAGACCAGGTCGGCCAGACAGACCCCTACCAGGAGGACCAGGAAGACCTGGCTGCCCTTTTTCTCCTGAAAACACACACACGCACACACAGGTATACACATTTTCAAGCATTGCCAAGGCAACTTTTAAAGTGCCTGACAGAGCAGCTGGGTAAAGGATATGTTTCTTTTTCATCTTAGCTGTTTAATCACCTTTTTGTCCTTGGATTCCCTGATTTCCTGGAAGTGACAGATGACCTCGTTCCCCCTTCTGTCCAGGTGGACCTGGTGATCCTGAGGTTCCTGGCACTCCTTCGTGACCTTGTTGTTTGTGGTTGGGCACTTGGTAAGATCATTTAATTTATCTATTTCACATATAAATGTATTTGCAATACAATAACACTGACCTGGGTTTCCAGGTGAACCAGTTTGGCCTGGAAATCCACGTGGTCCAGGAAGTCCTTTGGTGTGAATGAGTGGTTCTCCTTTCTGGCCTACTCACAAACATGTAAATAGACATTGATATTACTGATTTTTTATTACTGATTTTCTCAGATCTATTATAATACAATATATTGAACTATTATATTAATGAATCTTTGTCAGTTAAAAAAAAACCAACAACACTTGAACCAAAGTCTGTTTGTCATTAATTACAACATAATCTGGTTTTGTTTAACCTGGACTTCCTGGCTCTCCTGGCAAACCAGGTACACCAATATTCCCCTTATATCCTGGTTGTCCAGTAGGCCCATATCCTACAGGCCCTGGGAGGCCAGCTGGTCCTAGTCTGCCGGTTGGTCCTGGTTCACCTGGGAAACCACGGTCTCCAACAAAACCTGGAAATGGATACTGAAAAAAGGAGAGACATTTTTGAAAAATGTAAAGCCAAAATGTATGAACGTATAAATACTGATGAGTCAAATGGTCTCACAGCGTCCCCTGGAGGGCCTCGGTTGCCTTTATGACCAGGTTTCCCAGGGAACCCTGGTATACCACTAGTACCAGGTAGGCCAGGCTGTCCTGGGTCGCCTCTCTCTCCCTTAATTCTAGGTGTGTTATAGACCTGGGATTCTCCCTTTTGCCCTGCAAGGCCGGGTAATCCTGGTACACCAACTGGACCCTTTCATAGAATTTACACATTTGGAAAAAACAAAACAAAACCAAAAACCAAAAAGCTGTTAAAACAGTGACACTAGTAACTCACTGGTCTTCCAAGTGAACCTCTGTGTCCTGGGGATCCTGGATCACCTTTGTCCCCTGGTGTCTGATTGTAGCCTTGGCAACACACGTAAACAGAAATGTTTATTTAACTTATGTAGAAGGGAATTGTTTTTGTCATTTGTCATTCAATGACTTTACCTGGACTTCCAGGTGGACCACGAGGACCTGGTAGTCCTGCTGGTCCTGGTCCTGTACATTCATAACATGGCTCCCCCTTCACTCCTGTAAAGAACAGAACTCTTGTGTCAGCCCAAGATTTATAACAAGAGAAACAGTGAAATTAAATTAGTTTTCACCTTTGATTCCAAATCTTCCATCATAACCTGGAAGTCCAAGGACACCCTTCACTCCCTTTGGTCCTGGTAGAGCTTTGGTTACTCTGTTAGCTGTGAACAGTGCAGTCCATCTTAGTCCATTTGACTAACTAGTCTATGGTTTCATTATTATTATTATTATTATTATTTATAAAATAAATACTCTTAAAATAGATACTCTTCAGCCAGTAAATATATTATGTATTATTAGTTACATGTTGCTGTGCAGAAACACTGGTCATAGTACTTATAGTAGCCAACTCGATGCAGGTAATTCCAAATTTTGAAAAATCAACATAATTAATTCAAACCGAAAGTAAACTTTAACAGGGTTTAATATTTATTCATAGTTTTATTTATTAATAATTACCTCTGTCCTGTGGTCTTAATGTTATAAAAACATTTGGAATAAACAAAAACATAGTAGTATAATAAAATATGTTTAAATGTCAAATATATTCTCCGGGCAGGAGTTTCACTTACTTCTGTCTCCTGGGGGTCCAGGTAGGCCTGGATCACCGGGAGGTCCTGGATCACCGGGATCTCCGTCTACACCTGGCGGTCCGTTATTATATTGTGCAGGCTCTCCAGGTTCTCCCTTTGGACCTATGAATCCAGGAGGACCTTGTGGACCTGGTCCAGGAATCCCAGATACACGGCCTGTTTAATATGACAGAGGTCGTTAGTATTTTGGCTGAGAGAAGTATACTAAATTATTATGTATTTTTCAATGCAGTCTAGCTTATACCACAGACCTGGAAGTCCATCTGGTCCAGGAAAACCCACAACACCTAGAGGATGAAAAATACCTTTTATGTTACGGTTCCAACATTGTAGTTTATCAAAATGCTACAACAATTACATTTAAAAAAACAAAACAATAACAATATTAATTTGAACACGGTTAAGGAAATTTGCTTTATTTTTATTCCATACCTTGATGTCCAGGGGGTCCTTGATGACCAGGGGGTCCAGGGTCTCCACGATATCCTTTAAGTGGCACAGGAACAGTTCCGTACACCTGCAGACAAAGGTATGTGTTCAAGCCACGGCACATCCACAGGAACTTTTTGGAAAGGGTGAATTTGCAGATTTAAATTGTTTGAGGCTGACTCACTCACTGATAAACCAATCTTATTCTCCACACTCCCAAATGTAGACAACCACTCACTGATAATTGGGGAAGATAAAAAACTTTTCTTCAAGTTTGAAATGGCATCGCTAACCAACCACATCTGTTTAACCATTAAAGTGACTTCTGCTTAGCATTGAAGATTTGGGTCTCTGCTGCAAATTGACTTTTGTTTCAGAATCCCTGTTGGTTAAAGGCTGTAGAGAATATTCTGTGTGAAAAGAGGTCTATATATCTGGAGTGGAGTGGAGTGGGCTGATGGCTGATGGATAAAATGGATTATTTTCTCAGAAACAATTCCCACATCTATCACTTCACATGTTCCAGTGTTATGTTATGATAGAACATCATTTGCCACCATGACACTCGCTGAATACGAAATTGTCCATAAATGCGCAAAGTTTAAAATCACAGATACAAAGTATTATCAGTACCAGCTTATGTTCATCAGGTGAAATAACAGAGGCATATTGTGAAAAAGAAATAAAAGTTTACATTTTTAGTGCTTGATGTTACTGCAATACAAAGCTTCTCTCTTGTGACTGGCTTAGATGTCATTATTATTAAAAATACAATCTGGGAATTAAAATTAACATCAGACATATTTTATACAGTACAATCAGAGGGAAAAAATAACAATTAGTATTGTGAAGATTATTATTGGATTTTCAATAAAATAATCAGTTGGACAATTTATATAATATGTTCTAAAGAGCAGTAGTATCAATGTGACAATGCTGCATAAATAATAATAATAATAATAATAATAATAATAATAATATTGTTATTTCAAATTTGAAATATTTTAAATAGCACTCATAAATGTGGGTAGGTAAAATAAAAAGATAATAAACTTACTTTTCCAGGTTGACCTGTTGAACCTTGCGCTCCCTTTTCCCCCTAAAATAGAGTCCAGAAAAGAAAGTGTGTTACAAAAACATTAGCAAATATTAACTTGGGAACTGACCAGTCACTGACCACTCCTCCTTGTCTCCCTGGATACCCTGGATCACCTCTAGGACCAGGTCTTCCCTAAATGAAACAATAGGAAATTGAATATTAAGAACACACTGACACATTCTGTAGCTACTGTACACAGGGGGTGGAGTAGTGAAGTACCTGATGTCCAGCTGGGCCAGGGTCACCGTTCTTACCAGGTTTTCCCTGGAACAATATTGACAATATCTTAAATTCCTTCATAATTTTATTCTTAGGTAATAAGAGCATGGCCAGTAGACCAGAGTTAAATACATTACAAATACAGTTGTGGTTTTGAAGTTATCTTTGTTTAATTTGATGTAAAAACGTCTATAGCTATAATATTTAACTTTTATTTAAAATGTTTAAATTTACTTTGTTTTTCAGTCATCAGACGGTGAAACAGATCATCAGTTATCACTGATTGTAATACTGCATTAGTGCCCTCTGCAGTTTGGTTCTTGAAAGAACACTAACATGTTATTATTAATGCAAGGTGAGGGGAAAATATTGTTACATTGAAGGAAAGATCTGAAAAATGTCTCTTTTTTAAATTTCAGACACCAATATATTCCATTCATTTTACTGTTGTCTTTTGAATCCTACTTCCGGGCCTTGCTGTCCAATCTCTCCTTTTGACCCTTTGATGTGAGAGCTTTCGTCGACGGCCCCCTGTAAAGTGAAGGATCGGGTGAAATCCCCTCCGATGTGTTTTTATCAGATTATGTCAGATCAAAGTGCAAAAGAGACTAAAAATGGGAGAGAAAACTTACTCTTTCACCCTTGCAGCCCTTTTCTCCTGCGTCCCCTTTATCCCCCTTCACTCCCTGTTTGGGAAAATGTCATGTTACACAATAGACCAGCAGATATAATAACATCACCTGCAATTATTCTTCTGTAGTCACAAGTCAGATTTTAGGAGCTGGCGGACCAGAAGTGGTCCCCAGGCCAGGAGTTTGGATCAGCTGCTTTAAACTCTTCTCTATATATATTTTAATTAAACTCAAAAATGTTTAAAACATGCTGTCTATTTCAATTCTACAAAAAGAAAAAACAAAACAAAGACAAAAGGAAATCTTGTTGTTACGTCTTTGCAATGATCAAACCTCAATTTGGTCCTGTGTCTCAGTGGAAAACTCCCTAATCCGTCCTGGTGGCCCTGGTGATCCAGATGGTCCTGTTCTGCCCTGCATCAAACAGAGGGTTTGTTAAAGCGGTGCCTATAGCAGCCAGTAGAACAAAGACAATTCTAGCGTGTGTGCAATCATTTTAAATGACAATTCCAACTTAACAATTTAAGAACACTTTGACTGTAAATAACAATACCTTTGGTCCACGAGGTCCTGGAAAACCCCCAGTGCCTTCCTGACCCTAAAGGGATGGGAAAATGTAAGATTGTGCCTTGTTTGTATCCCAATGTTCTCAAACAGTCATTATCTTGTCTTTTCTCATGTTCCACCAACTGCAGGACTGTATTGTTCTGTCTGTCTCCTATTTCCCAGTATTTGTATTATTATGGTTTTATCGGGAAAAGGGCAAAAAAATTCTCTTTTGTAACCTTGAGAGTACTTCCTCACTGATAATCCAGTACCTATGTGTACAGACAGGAGTTGTTTATAATTCCCCAGTTGTGTGAACAGTGTCAATTATGATAAGAGCATGAACAGTCAGTGCTCCAAACACCTACAGCTGTGCTTTTAGGCTGTTTTTCTCACTGTGCTACTTGGACGCCCAGTAAATACACAGGGGAAACCAGTCAGAGCCGGTGCACACGTACAGTCTCCTGTAAAATATTCATTGGCCTCACCTTGGATCCTGGAGGCCCTGGACGGCCGGAATGTCCCTGTTTATGAAAGTGGCAGGCGATCATTACAAAGATATTGTCTGTTGTTCATTAGTTTGTTTATATTTTAATGTGACATCAAAAATCTATACTTACGTCTGATCCTCTTGGTCCACGGTCTCCAGGTTCTCCTGGATTTCCAGGCTCACCTTGCAGACCCTAAAATACAAAGCAGGATTTTAATCCAAATTATCTATCAATAATCATTACCACGATTAATTCAGTTTTGAGTTTGATCCGTTTTTGTTTTTGTTTTTTTATCCTTACCGGGTCTCCTTTTCTACCAGGTGGCCCCACAAAAGGCTCAGACACCAAAGTATCGCCCTTTAAAATAAATAAAAAAATGTTGACTTTATTTTTTTTACCTACCACAAACAACACAAATGCTAATTACAGAAATGCAGTAATGTAACAGTTGAAGTAAAGTACTCTACTGTGCTCAGAATTCCAATGACCGCTTTCAGGAGCGGAATCGATCACATAAACCCTACAACTGTTTCACCACATCCTCAGCAACTAGTGGAGGAGCAGAATCAATAGTGAGAGGATTTGAGCTGTGTTCATTGAACACCAGCCTGTCTGACATCAGCTCTGTCTTTTCTTTTAGAAAAAAAAAAGGAATATTAATTATTAATTATTAATCTATAACTATAAAAACATTACAGCAAACAACAGCTATTCTAATACTACTGTAAATGTCAAGAGGTGAAGTATCTTGGGCTGGTATGACTGACTACTTTAAAGTCAAATTTAGTCAGGATCATATAAAACCTGTTGAAGCCCCACAGTTGGCCCGCTGGCCAGACTTTTGACACACCTCATGGATTTAATTTTTATTGCTGCTTTCATAATTAATCATGCAAATTAACTGGTCTTTAACACACAATAATAATGGAATGTACTGACTTTTTAAATGTAAACCTCAAACATACTGCACAGTGTGACTGTGACATGGACATTGTCAGGTAATATGTTAATTGTAATGCAATGTCAATGCTGAATGATTCTACAGCTCAGTATAAACTATATTTTTACGTACAATGTGATACTTTTACCTTTGGTCCACGTAAACCTGGTGGGCCCTGGGACGAAAAACAGGATAAAGAGTAAACATAAACACCTGGTGGTAAATATGTGAGGAGTTACATATAAAAATAAAATAAAATAAATTTGAATTATTTTTATATCTCACCGGGTTTCCATTCCGGCCATTTGCTCCAGGAACACCAGGGTGTCCATCATCTCCCTATAAGAATTAAATGTGCGTAAAAAAAAAAGAGTAGAATTCCTATTCATTTTTCTACTACATCAGTACTTTAGTCACTCCTCCTCATCCTTTAACAGTCTGACCATCATTAAACAGTCAACACAACTAAAACTGTGAAACTACTCCTCATCGTAACCACTCGTATGTAAAATACAGCAGACATTTCAACAGTACCTCATTGAAAGCACCTTATTAATCTGTCGTCCGATGGTGTGGTCAACTCAGATTTTCGTTTCTAAATCCATACTGTGTATAATATTCTCTACTTTCACTACTTCTCCCCATAAATCCAATTTATTTGTTATCCGTGATGCAGATGCTTACTTTGGTTCCGTTGCATCCTGGGAAACCCGGAGGGCCTGGAGGTCCTTGTACACCTGGTAAACCCTGTGGCACAATCGTACATGTTTATATGAAAAGAAAAGTCATTTTAAGCAGCAGGGTTGATGGTGAAGACACTGAGACTCACAGGAAAACCATGGGCCCCAGCAAATCCTTCTTTACCTTCAGGTCCCTGGAATGACAGTGGTCATTGACATACACTCAAGCATTTATTATGGTATGAGACGACACATAACCAATCCGTAGACTATACAAATGAAAGTTGTATTTTCGTCTGAAGTGGCCCACATTCTCATGGGATCCAATCACTCACTTATAATCACACATGGTATACACAGTTATGTTACCAGATCTCCTTTTGGCCCCGCAGGTCCATCAGGCCCAGTGTTTCCCTGGTGAAGACAGCAGTCAGATATTTTTGAAATTATAGTAGTGCATTCTTGTAGTGTGGAATACATTAAATTAAAAGTTTTGTTTTTTGTCTTTTAATAAAAAAAGTCAAAAGAGCTCCACCAGAAATCCCATTGGTCCAACACGACCATCTGATCCCGGACGGCCCTCTGGTCCTGGAAGACCTTGAATTCCCTGAAAACCTTTGTCGCCCTGTTTGTGTTGGACGGAGAAGAAGTGGGTGAGTGATTAAAAATATATATTTAACCATACATTTGCATTTATTTATTAAAATGTCGTATGCCAATCAGAATAAAAAACAAGGTTCTCACCCTGTTGCCCTTCACTCCTTCACAGTGACAACGCAATTGTCCATTGCAAACACACTAAACAGAAAATAAAGCAGAATAATAATAATTATTATTATTAAAAATAATAATTAAATATATATATGAAATCTACAAGTCACAACAAAAATGACAAGGACTAAAGAAAAGATAAAAACATATATAAATGTATATATTTATAGAGGAAATTCAGATGAAATTGTATATGGCTTGGAATGAGTCGACAGTGTTGATACATTTGTCATTATTGGAATTCTGCCATTTACATGTGTGGCCTATTTTGTTATCGTCTGGGCCAAATGAGCAGTGGTTTGTTGATATGTGACCAACATCATTGTGTATTTTTATTATTGTGGCTAAAATCAAGCCATGAGTCGAAGTGGAACAGGAATGGAGGCATTAAGTCAGAAACAATTCATCTGATAGGTTTAAGTGTCTCATTAAAGCAGGTAATGAATTCTGCTGCACTTGAGCGTGGAGTCTGTGTTTAACAAGGGGGAAAATAAGACAAGCTTTCTTACATCTCATGTACTGTATTCTTCTCTCTTAAAAGAACAGATTTTCCATTTCGGTCCAGTGCACTTATAACACTTTTATTTTTACATATTTAAAACACTTCCCTCCATAATATCTTGTTAAAAGCCCAACCAACATGGAGGAAAAAACAGACAAACAGACTTTGTAGATGTCAATGTTTGCGTTTAAATCTGTGCTTAGTAATTTAGTAGAAACACAGTCATATCTACTGTAGTAAAAACAAACAAGTTATTGATGCTACTATAACGGCAGTAGGGACGTTCCAGGGTTGAAGTAAGAAGATGATGTTATTATTCAAATTGATTGTTTTTGTAATGGCAAGAAAAAAGTTCTTACGTTTTTAGCCCCAGCGCTCATCAGCATCACAGCACAAAGGACCACAGGAACAGGAACCACTGGTCTTCTCATCTTCCTTCAGTCAAACATGAGGTTCAGGAGAAAAGCAGAGGTGATGAAGAAGCTTCTGATCATCCTCTTCAGCCACAGGTTTAAAAGAGATGCCCACTGCAGCAGCACAGACAATCTCCGGTCAGTAGTAAAACTTAATTCAAGGATTCTCATGTGTCTTCGGTGTTTGATTAGGAAGATCAGCCCAGAGACTTTGTTTAACTTTATTCTGAAGGAGGTAGGAGGTAACGCAGCTAACTGTAGCTGACACTCTTCTTCCTCATCTCACTATCATGTCTGTGACTGAACTCTCACCACCTCCACTGCAGAAGGTCTTCATGTAGAAATTCTCAGCCCGGGAGTTTGGGTGAGTAAAGATTTATGTACAGTAGGTAAA